CTGTCCGCGTGTAGTGACCAGCTGTCAGGCCCATCGCTTCAAGAATCTCCTCCAAGGCCTTGTTCTTCTCGTTGAAGCAAGCAGTGGCTATGGCAACAGCTGTCTGGACAGTCCTTGACGAGCAAAAGCCAGTCTTTGGACAAATCTGCCAAATGAGGCCATTGATGCACTCGTTCCGATTCTGAGTAGCGCCACGCAAGCATTTCTCGAGAAGTTGCCTCTCAGTCAGCCGCAAGTACACAGGCTTGATGACTTTGAAGACTGCATCCGGCAGGCTCTTCTGATGTTGGTATTCAGGGCCACCAGCTTGATGACTCTGCCACTTGCACAAACTATGTGGTCCAGGGGGGCAGAACTGATGCTGCGGCTTGTCATCTGTTGAAATACAATGCATGACCGATGCCCATATCGCGCGTGCCATGCCTTGCAGGTCATTGCCATGTCCACGTACGTTGGCAGTATACTGCTCCTTGCTGATCTCATGTTTGCTCAGCTTCCTCTGGAATATTGTGCACTGCTGGCAGTGCCGGGAGAGGACTTTGTAGTCGATGACTTTGCCAGTATCCCACGAGATGGTAAGAAACGCTCCATGTAGCGAGGTAAAGCCGCGTCGCATCCACGTTCCGTCGTAAGTGACGGCAATATCAGGGGAAGACGCCAATTCCTTGGCATTCGCAGCTGCACGCTCATGCTGCTGGTGGCAACAACTCTACTGGCCTTTGCTAGTACCTTGGTGTGCTTCTGGTATGCAGAGACATTCATGGGTGCAGGCATATTCATGACAGTGCAGAATTTCACAAGGGATGCCCACGTCCTATCCATGTCATTGCAGTAGCCGGCTTTCTGTTCACATCAGAGCAGTGCCCAGTCTTCTTGGACATAGCTTCACGGCTTTCAGCCTCGCAGCTGTCACAGGCCAGCGATAGAGTTGAAGCCAATCCTTCACGACGTACTTCACATAGTGTAAGGGTGCCATGGCACGCTGAGCAACAGGCACTATCAGCAAGTAAATTTTGTAAACATTCTAAATAAATAATTCGGCTCCCGGTCGTCAGGTAATCATCACCGGCTCATCTCCAGAGCTGTCGCTGTCACTGTCACTAGATGTCACCAGAATTAGACTGTTGGACTTCGGCATCATCCCTATCTTCTGGCAACACAGAAGAGTCCTCTGCCACGACAATTTTCGTAATATTATTAATTATTTCACTCGACAATTTCATAAATTATTTAGCACATTGATTTCCATGGAATTTGCGCTTCTTTGGACGACCAGGACGGCCTACGTACTGCCTCTTGCCCATAGTGATCAAGGAAGGTTCCACAAAACAGATGAAAGCCAACAAAGCAGCTAAACTGATAAAGAGCTACAGTTTGGAGAATGGAGATTGCTGGTATAAATATATTTACCAAAAAATTTAAGTACGACATGCGCACTGTGTGTGGTGACATGCGCAGTGGCACTGCTGATGCCGATGGTGATGTCAGCTCTGCGTGGGGCGCAGCAAGGTAAAACCAGGGAGATTTTCAGCCTTTCCGCGAAGTTTCATCGCCAAAATGCCAGCGAAATCAAAGTTACACACAAAACATGTGTAATGAAATTCTAATGCGTAAAAATTTGAATTTTTGAATTTACAATTACTATTTTTGACAATAGCGGCCTTTGAAAGTCCATATCTCAAAACCTACTGAAGCAATTCACTTCAAATTTTCGGGATGTGCGGTTGGGACCTACCCAGAGGGTCTGGAAGCGAAAATGGGGCCAAAATCCAAAATTCGATTTTTGACCCTCTGAAAGGTGCCGGAAAGGTGTAGCGCCACCTTAACTTCAGTTTCTTTGGTTGTATCCTTAGTTCCGTTTTTTCCCACTGATGATAGGAACGAGAAAATCGATTTTGGGTTTTCAATAATATTTTTGTTATAAAATACACAGTAATACATGTCAAACAAGTAACGTAGTTGCGTGATGTCTGCGGCCTTCATCCTATTCATAGCTATAATAAAATTTGTAAGAAAGGGTTTGCTCCCCACACCGGAGCTCGCGCTATTCCGCCGACTTTACTTGACACTTGACTGACTCACGACTGCCATCCAGAGCACACGAGAAGTCCATCATTGCTTCGGTGGGGAGCAAACCCTTTCTTACAAATCATCGCCGAAGTCGCAACCACTACTTCGTATATTAAAATTATTATTATTATTATTATTATTCAAAGTATCAGTCGGGGAAGTGAACTGCCTGAAAAGAGAAAAAAACGCCAGACCCACCAGGACTCGAACCTGGGACCCTGCTTGTCATGAGCAATGCTCTAACCACTGAGCTATGGGACCAGACTGAACCTAGAAGGCGCTGACAAGTTTTTCACTCCAAAGGCAGCTCACAACACGTGCCACACATACTGATGGCACTTGGGTCTTTTTCCCTCCCCCAGGGGACCAACCACGGTCAGTTTCTGGAAACTACCAGAGGTGAAAGAAAGTGATTAAATTTGGAAAGGATTGGGAGAACTTCAAATTCAAAGTATCAGTCGGGGAAGTGAACTGCCTGAAAAGAGAAAAAAAAACGCCAGACCCACCAGGACTCGAACCTGGGACCCTGCTTGTCATGAGCAATGCTCTAACCACTGAGCTATGGGACCAGACTGAACCTAGAAGGCGCTGACAATAGTTTCAGTCTGGTCCCATAGCTCAGTGGTTAGAGCATTGCTCATGACAAGCAGGGTCCCAGGTTCGAGTCCTGGTGGGTCTGGCGTTTTTTTCTCTTTTCAGGCAGTTCACTTCCCCGACTGATACTTTGAATTTGAAGTTCTCCCAATCCTTTCCAAATTATTATTATTATTATTATTATCAGCCGACCACGACACATGTACATGTATGCGCCGTGATAAGTCACGTGATAAGTCACGCGGCGACAGGCTTCAATGGGACAGAGAGAGACGTTTTGATCCCCGAGCTTGTGTACATGATATCGTATGTAAATAGTGTTTTACGTCGACCGTGACCATGGTGACGGCTCGATTTGCAGAACGGCTGCTCCGATACGTAACAGAAAAATAGTAATGGCTACAATGCCCAACCATACCACAACGAACTGATCGGCTACATCATTGTATTGCAAAAAGTTTCCATCTGTTCGAATAACGTGCATGGTGGGCTAGGCAAAAAAGCAAAGCGTAGGTCCCTGGGCGAAAGAAATAAACTTTGTCTTTGCATTCGAGGGTAATACGACACCGTCTACCACCTTGATGACCTACAATGTAGGCAAAAAAGCATAGGGATGTTAAAATTTTCATTTCTCCTATTCTTTTTTCAAAACGTAACCTACATGTAGGATTCGAACCCGCACTATCGCCCTGCATGCATTCCCCCGATACACTTCGCAATAGGCCCCGGTGTAATATGCCCGAAACTTTGCCGAAAATGCTTTTGGGAAATTCTCGTAAACCTTGCCGAAAATGCTACCAAACCTTGCCGAAAATGCTCGGAAAATGCTCACTTTTTTGTCATCCTCAGCACACGCCGTCAAAACCAGGGAGTCAGAAAATACTCAATAAGAGACTTGCTCGAGTCTGCCATGGTAAACAATTCATAAACTACTCAACAAGAAGCTAACCCACGGAATGCGGAAGTGACGTTCTTGTTTGGGAAGTTTTTCTTCTCTCAATTTTGATACACAACGGCCAAGTGCTCCGTTTCCCCCAAAATGCTGCATCACGAGCCCAAAGTGCTGGGTTCGCGGATTGTACCGAAAATGCTCAAAAAATTGCCGGCATATTACACGGGGGCCTACTTCGCAAGTACATACTCATTCTTCCAAGTTGCTTCACGTTATGATCTTGCGTGCAGTTGAAAGCCCTACCGGTATTTGAATATTGTGGCCAGCTGTCTTTGATCATGATGATGATGAGTGGTACGGATAAAAATTAATAAGGACTCGGATGGTTTTCCTTTGCTCACCAATAAAATAAGGCTTGGTATTTTTAAACATGAATACTGACGCACTTGCCCCTTCTGTTCATGTCTTGCCCCGCTCTAGTAATGGTTCATGAATCCGCCCGGCCCACATTCCCTCTCCGTTGTTCTTTCCTTCCAGTTGCATCTTCCTTTCTGCTCTGTTTTACTTTCTCTTTTTGTTCGTCCCTCTTGATATTTGTACTTTGTACTGTTGAGGCAACGGTCTGAAGTCATGAATTAAAACCAAACCAAACCGTGCATACCGGCAGTGCTCAGGTGATACTGATAGTACCAAGAGTATAATTATAAGGGGGCTTACACTCGGAGTTACCATGGTTACGAGAAAGATTTTTGGTCTCTGTTGTTCTGCCTTGTGTAGTATGCTCTGACTTTTTTTAAATTTATTTTTAGGTATTGAGCACTATTTTCAGCAAGGACTTCAGACACTTTGTCAGGCTAAGGGGGCTTACTGAGTATATAATTATACTCTTGGTAGTGGATCTACATTTTTGTACATGATTGTATTAGCAAGAGTAGTCTTACTCTAGGTATTCATGGTGTATTAGTAGTATAGTACAGTGTAGTCTCTATTTCAATTTTCTTATAAAGATACCAGTCCTGTTTTCATGGTTTTGGTAGGATGACTCATGCCAGGTACACTGTACTGTAGTATTGTGCACGTATTTAAAAACATGTTGTTGGTTACAAAAGTGGACCACAAAGACATGCATTTTTATTTATTTACTGCCCGGAGCTACGAAGCCTTCGTCGAAGGACATGACCATGATGACAGTGGATCTACACATGCATGGTAGATCTACACTACAGCAGAAGTCATGCATACCAGGTGAACACGTCATCATGCCATGGTCATGGTCGACACTCGACATGTCGACAGTCACGTCAGTACAGCTACGAACTATTTTTGTAGTGCGAAGTGCGATATACGAAGAAGTCGACATAACTGTGATAACAGTCATCGTTCTAGGGATGAATGAACGACTGAAACAGGGACACTGTTAGATGTATAGTACATGTAGTGTTACTTTACAAAATTACAGTTTGTGAGCTTTTCCCTGTTTTGTCTCTTGATGAGTTTGAGAGGTTGAGCGTCACTGCGTGGATGTGCTCGGCTTCCCATGACTCATTCAACATTCATGCTCATCCGCTGGGTAGGGAACAGCACAAGAAATTATTATAAAAATGCGTCGGAACTGCACTCCGCGTTGGCTTTCCAGCGCTTTGGAGAAAGAAACGAGGATTCGAAGTTTGCTGCTCTGGACGAAAGTGAAGCACGCTACATTGCCGAGTTGTGGAGTAAGCCTGCCAGAAGTAGAGGAGCGCAGGAGAGAAAGGTAAGCGCACCTTGGTGCTGGTCCATGATGCGTGCTGGGTATGTTCTATGAGTATGAACGTTATAACTTATAAGTATGAGACGTACATAGACATTGTACAGGCTTCATTGTACAATCATGTACATATAACGTTTTCTGGAGGCTACTGTTGATAAATCTGGTGAGAATGACAAGAGTGTATACCTGTTAAAGGGGAAGTTAAGGCAAAAATTAAAATTTCACCAGTTGTAGTCTTCGGGGTGCTGAGTCGAATGGTCTTGGTCCGAGGAAGCTGAGACGCTCCCTTCCTACTTGAATCCCAATCGAACTCGCGCACTTCCACCGAAACTGGGTGACTGCGCCCTACGAGATGGGGATTTGTATGCAAAATGTCACTAAAAGCGCCATTTCGTTCTTATAAAAGCACGGATGACCGCGATTGGCCCATATGTTGTAGTCTTTTGGACGCTGAGTCGACTGGTTTTGGTCCGAAAAGGCTGCGATGCAGCGTTCCTCCTTTATTCCCAATCGAACATGGTTGAACAAGTGGTCACGTGCTCCTGGGTGCCCAAATCACCTGGTCACCACGCCAGCAGGTGAGAACTTTCACACCAAGGTTCAACTCGAGTTCAACTCGAGTGACAGGACTGCACCCAAAAAAGGTCAAACAGGCTAGTAAGTTGTACCCTGCAGGCACGGTGACCAGGTGACTGGTGTACGCAGGAGCACGTGACCGCTTGTTCAACCATGTTTGATTGGGAATAAAGGCGGAACGCTGCATCGCAGCCTTTTCGGACCAAAACCAGTCGACTCAGCGTCCAAAAGACTACAACATGTGGGCCAATCGCGGTCATCCGTGCTTTTATAAGAACGAAATGGCGCTTTTAGTGACATTTTGCATACAAATCCCCATCTAGTAGGGCGCAGTCACCCAGTTTCGGTGGAAGTGCGCGAGTTCGATTGGGATTCAAGTAGGAAGGGAGCGTCTCAGCTTCCTCGGACCACGACCATTCGACTCAGCACCCCGAAGACTACAACTGGTGAAATTTTAATTTTTGCCTTAACTTCCCCTTTAACTTATACCTTTTGGCAGTGGTAGAGTGTCACGTGAGCTGCAGTGTCTTCACGCCAGTCTTAAGTTGTATTACTATTACTTGAAGTACTATTACTATAGTATTAGGCAGGGGACATGGTGTTTGCAGTGTGAACATAGTATAGGCTAAAGCTCTCCTTCATTGCGATCGGTTCGATCAGTGACTTTGAGCTCCGCTGAGGAGACCTTACAAGGTCGAAACAACAAAGCACCAAGTTGCATTGCACTGCTTCAGGTAGATTCTGTGGTGCTGCTTCTGGCATGTGCAGGGGGCGGGTCAGAAACGCTACAGTCACTGCGGTCACTATGGTCGATATGGTCAATATGGTGTTGACTGTACCGCTTAACGCTTGTCACCGTTAGCGCCCATTATGTAGGGAAATGCAATGAATACCAGCATTAAATTTTGATGTTTCTAAAGGCTTGCCCCGCAAGTAGAACCCTCTGACTGTAGTCCTTTGAGCCACCTTTCTTGTTGACTACACATCTGATCGCGATTGGTACAGCCAGTCATGCTGAACCCCTTTTGATAAGACCTAATAAGGTCAAAGTGACAAGTAGCTGTCCGCACATGGAGCATCAAACCGTGTGTATTTTTTCAATCTTTCTTTGAGAGGAAATGAGGGGATTGTTAAGTTTGAACTTTGAACATCTTTGTCTGTTTATCTTGCGTCCAGTTGTTATCCTGGCAGGTAGAATGTGACTGAACCAGTGCAATGGGCAACAAACTGTGCGTCAGTGCGGGCGATGAGACTTGCATGCGTGTGAAATCATTCCCTCTTGGCTGTCAGTTGCCTGATGTAGAAGTAGGGATTCACCCAGGTCGAATGGGGATGACAGGTAAGTGTACCTAAACTGTGCCAAGGCAGCAATAATAAATAAATAAATGAATTCGCGGTTCATGTGAGGCGCGGTCAAAATAGGAGTATGCAGCAAATGCTGTGTTTCTGCCTGTCTCTGTGTCTGTTTCTCGGTCTGTGTCTGTCTCGCTGTTTGTCTGTACCTGCCTGTGTCAGCCGGTCTCGCTGTCTGTCTCTCCTTCCTTCTTTCTCCCCTTCCATCCCTGGTCCTTCTGCATGAGGTGCAGCACAGTCTCTGAGTTATCTTGTAACGCTACATGAGTGTTGAAAAGAGAGGAAACGAGTGTAGCATGATGTTTTAAAGTGTATTTCGAAGTTACAAGTATCCTTTTGGTCCTGTCTGCTCTACCCCTCTTAAATAACGTGTTATAATTATACAGATCTCCACGTTGAGAGGATACAGATGTGGAACGAGCTTACCACAAGGCAGGCATGTCGGTTTTGCAAGAGCACCGAGCAACGTCTACTCAGCACCCATCGTGATGTCTGTACTAAGAGACAGTGCAAGGTAAGGACTACCAAGTGATGAGGACATGAATGAACATCAGTACTTTTCACTCTTGAGACAATTAGGACTTTACGAGTCAAGATCCAGTTCACAGTTCTGACCAGAGAAATCCGCCCTCATGAAAAAAAAGTAGTGCTGCGCTACAGTGCGCAGAGTGGTGTGTGGGCGTGGTGCTAGGACAGCGTGGCCCTTGGCACTATTATATTCATGAGGTCGGGTTTTTCTGACCAGCGGGACTGTTCTATTCTTCCCTATCTTCGGCTTCCAAGAGAAAAATCATCCAATATTACACCAGCAGAAAATAAGAATGCACCCTTACTAAGTAGAAGGGTAGTTTGAAAATAATTTGATTCTGTTTGGTCCTCTTTGATGACCAAGCCGTTTTTCCTTGGTATGCTCTGCCCTTGCGTATTAATCCTATTTCTTCTTTGTTGCTGAACAGGAGCGCAATGCCTCTGCTTGCTCTAAGCGTCTTCCTTGTGGAGACTGGTGTGGAGGAATTGCTGGAGAGGAGAAGTGCCTGCCATGCCTGCAGAGTCCATGTTGCGGCGACAGCAACCAGGCATCAGCCACTGCCGCTGCCCCTGCCGCCACTTCCACCGCCAACACCACTGTCTGCAGCAGCAGCATCACTGGTAGCAGTACCGATGACAACACCTGTTGCAACAACAACGGTGCTAATGGTGCCGTGATTGAAGTGGCACGAGCAGTTCATTACACTGCCGACGATACATGTGCCATTTGCTATACAGACACGCTAGGCGAGGCTCCAGCTATTCAGGTTAGTACGGGTACAAGCCAGAGTGCGTGTTATTTGATCGGCTGTGGAATGGTGATGTTTCCATTTCCAATGAGCATTTAGAGTTATAAGAAAGAAAACGGACCAAGGAGCTACAAGTGACGCTATATGTTTAGTAACTGCAGTGGTGTTAGTGACTGCAGTGCTAGTGTTAGTAACTGCAGTGGTGTTAGTGGACATTATAGCATAACTTGTAGTTCCTTGGTCCTTTTTCTTTCTTATAAATTAATCCTTAGCTCTCCATCCGAGCATTTAGAGTGTTTGTACTAAAGGCTTGATATCATGACTGTGTGCTTCACTCTCCAGCTTTCCTGTGGACACATCTTTCATAAGCATTGCTGCGACACGCTGCTGGAAAAGCAGTGGAGTGGCCCCAGGATCAGCTTCCAGTTCCTGAAATGTCCCAGCTGCGAGGTATGTTGACGTGTCCACATATTTCCTGCTTGACATCACAGAGTGGTCGGGATGCTTCTACTTTGAAATGCTTTTCTGGAGTGCGTGTTCAATGTTTGTGTGTCTTGAGATACACTAGTTTATGTATTTCAGCAGTAGTAGTATTTCTTGAATTGACTTTTCCAATGGCTGCATGGTGATGTCACTACGCAGTCTAGTGGTTTTGTGAGCAAGATGGTAAAGTATTAGACACGTTGGAGAACGCTTCTGGCGGAATCAATGGGAGGAAATCACGGTGGCCATGACTGTGTGACTGTTACTCCATTCTTGATATGCACCTGGGGGTGGGGATGCTTCAGGACATGGAACAGATCTTGAGTTTTGTCCGTATCTAGCTGATAACCAGTGCAGACTTGCGATAGCCGAACTATGTGTTGTGCCGTTGTTGATGTGCGGGGTTGCATCTCCTCCCTAGGATTGCTTCATGGAGCATCCATCACTGGATACGCGCACTATTCCTATGGTCGGATTGTTCAAGAGGGTGAAGGAGAAAGCACTGCTTCGGTTGGAAGTTGACAAGGAACTGGAAAACGAGGCCATCACCAATCCATGCAGCGAGTTCTACCAGAAGCCGGCTGAGTATGCCATGAAGCGCTATGCGTACTACCTCTGCCACGACTGTGAGAGGGTATGTACACAAGATAGATAGATAAATAGTGGTGCACTGCATTGCCGTATGCTGGTAGACTGTTAGAGTACAGTATTGCCCGACAGATAGACAGGTGCCCAACCCAACAGATATCTGCTCACTAGGATTCTCTTGCATCACCACAGTGAGGGTGTTCGGTCGTATGCACACAATCACTCATGTTCATGAAAGCCACGGTTTTGGGGGTCAGACATGCATTATATCGTTATCCGTAACAGTGTAATTTATTCATAGATGGCACGAGCAACTTCGACCTTCCAGCACCTGTGGTCACGTGACTACTTTCGCAGACTATATGCGTCAGAGGCAGGTGTAAGCGAGTGTGAAGTGGTATATCGTGAGGATAATGTGGTTCCATATAATACTTCTCCTGGGATACTGTGAGTGTGAAGTCCATTTCCAATGGATTCCAAGGTACGAGAAACCCGGCCTGGGTAAGCTATGACGAACAAAGAGCGTTGCAACATTTTTTCCCGTTTGATCTCATCTACAGCCTTACTTCGGCGGTGATGCTCAGTGTGCAGTACAAGTTGTCGGAGCAGAGTTTGACCCACAGGAACTTATGTGTGGCCACTGCTCCAACGTCCGAGGTGTGGAGGTAAGAATGCTATCTCTATGCATGTGACTCCGTGTGAAATTTGAGGAATTCACACTGAAAGGTTTTTTTATTGAATTCTTTATTCTCACGAGGGCACCATCGCCCGTAAGAGGTTGCACTTGACATTGTTTATCGCAAAGAATGGAGCAGATTTTTGAATGTTGCTATGTGTGGAAGATGTGAATGGGGCATATGGGCTTAGGTAGCAGTCTACCCAGAACGGTACCCGCCGTAGGCTATCCAGTATATCTCCAGAACGCATCATTAGAATTGCTTCACATTTTCAACATAGCATCATCATGTTACTAGGCTGATGTTAGAAAAAAATACTGGCAATAAATCAAACTAAAAGTGAGATCCAATACACCACACCACCACATTGCGCTCAAGGCCGGTCCAAACTCTGCACTCACATCACCATCACCACAGCGAGGACAATTCCGGTATATAGATTGATATTGACAATGACCCTCCAGACAGCTGTTTCGCTCCTCCTGAGCTTATCAGTGGAGGCATATGATCAGTGTCTGCTCCAGCGCCGGGTGAGCCGGGTAATCCACCCGGTTGGGCGGCGCTTGGACCCGGTTGAAAATATAGTACCGGGTCACCTGTGACCCGGTTGGTAATTTACACTTTCGAACTTTGAAAGGACTGACTACATGGCTTGTATGTGTCAGATACTTCTTCTTTCGTAATTTTCTAATTCCTGTCCTCTCTTTTCTAAATGCGGCTAAATGCGCTTTCGCATGCGGCTTATCCATTCGCCTTTAGATCATTGGGCCTAGTTCCCGTTTATTGTCCGAATTAAAATAAACCAACCAACCAGTTAGCATGTGACTCGACTGGTGAGACAGCGCCAGGTACATGTGTACCCGGCTCCGACCCGGTTGAAATGGTTGCGCCAGGTACACGTGTACCCGGCTGTCCTACAATCCTAGAGCAGACACTGATCATGTTGAGTGAAAGAATAATAAGAATAGACTGATCTAATATAGGGCTAAATTGGCGCAATTCGCACTTCAATGCATCATATCTTGCAGCAGGCTGGCCCAACGACCGTGGAACTTCACAGGCATGTATTTCAAACTGTTTTCTTTCATTTGAGCCAATTTTCAATGAAATGGACGAACTTTGCTTTTTTCGCATTTTTAGGGTAGTGCATGATGGTGAGGTGTTGACCAACTCATGTACAAATTCAACTGCCAAGAGGAGAGGCAAGAAGTCGAGTCCAGTTGTTTGCATATCTAGGTTCCACTCTAAACGGCGTGAGCTGTGAAAAGGAGGTCAGACATCAACATGTCTATCCAGTGGTTTGTGTCTTGGCTGACTGGTTGTTTTTGTCCAGGTGTGTCCGAAGCATGGAACGGACTTCATAGCGTACAAATGTCGCTACTGCTGCACTCTCGCAGTCTACTTCTGCTGGGGAACAACTCATTTCTGTCCAATATGTCATGACGTGAATGGTGGGGAACTGCGCTACCAAACCAAATTTCCCTCCTGCCCTGTAGGGCCCACGTGTAAGAAGCTGGAAGGAGTGCCGTGTCCGCTTGGAATCAAGCACCCTCCAACGGGCGAGGAGTTTGCCATTGGCTGTGTGGTGTGCTTGGATTTGCCACGATGCTAGGGTCACCCCAGCTCAGTTGTGTGCCTAATCATCAATCCCATCACCAGGCCTACTTGAATACTTCTGTGCACTGTTCTTTAGTCATGTAGACCAGGCTGGACTTGGCTATGGAAAATGCAAAAGGAACGAGAGTAACAAACTACTTTCACACACTTCGTCTTGAATTTCTCTGTATGAGAGTGGCTCATCGTACGGTATACCCCGCTAACAAAGGCTGCACTCTATTCACCCATATGTTTTACGGTCGCAAGTTTTCATTGCCCAGTCTAATGCACTTACATTGCACATCAAGTGGCAACACTTTGCCTCATATTCTCAATAGTTTCTCCTTGCTGCAAGTAATTTTTTGGAGACTCAGTCTTGATAAATTATGCTACTCCACAGAGGAATCCATGCCATGTATTTGCTTACTAGACCATTTTTACTTTACTAGCTTAGCCGGCTGCTGATGCTTTTGCTGCCACCAATGTAGATGCTCAATATTTTCGGCCCTGGTATGAGCTAGGGCAAAGGCCAGGTTAGGTGAACGGAAATTTTAGGAATAGAGAAGCAGTTCAATATTGGATTATGTGTGTTAGGGTTTGTTCGGTGTATTGACATTTTAGGTATGAAAGTAAAATTAGTTTAGTTGAAACAGATGCACCGAAAGTACCGAAAATTTGTGAAATAAAGTAGCAATAGTGGTTGCGACTATTTTATTGTTTCACTATTGTAGCTAGCTGGCGCTGGCGCCACCAGACTAGTGCCGTGGTACTAGTAGTACTAGTAGTCACATCATACATGTAATAAGTGGTACCTTGCTCTGCAAGTCAACATAAATCCTCCCCTCATGCTGATATTTTCTGTTACTTAATAAAAACTAGGGCTGAAGTCATGAAGTTGACTAAGTAATAGTTCTAAGTTCGTAGGGCTAAAGTATTCCTCATTCTTCCTTATTTTGGCAGTGCCTGTACTGATAATTATGATACTTGATAGGCTCATGTTATACTTACAGTCATGTAGCCGCGAAATGCGACGAAGTAGACATTGTTTGGTCCTTCTGACATGTCACAAGACTGTAGCCTAGTGTAGGCACGGAGATGACCAATTATTATAAAATCGCATTGCACCTAGCAGGGCCTAGATGAGGCGATCAAAGCATGCTACAAGAAGTAGAACTCCATAATTATAATATTAAATTTTAGTGGAGCGGGCTTTGATTTTACGATCAAAACCCACTCCACGCACTACGTACTAGGGCTTGATCAAGCCTCTTTTTCTAACTCGACTACAGCAGTACTACATCATGTGTAGTAGGGCTCGAGAAGGTTGAGAGTCGAGCTAGTCGTGCTTTCAAGCTAGATAGGAAGATCGAAGTGCGTGTCATGTTCATGTCAGAAGTCCAATCAAAACAGCCGTGCTCATGTTCTATCAGCCAATCACAGCCCTTCGCGAAGTATTTACAAGTAAACGTTAGTTCGATATGACATTATGAGTTGCAAGCGTGGGTACCCACGCTTGAAACTCATATCGAGTAGGAGTTTTTGATGATTTGTGACATGCACCCGGGTGCATGTCAGTGTCACAAATCATCAAAAACTCCTACTCTTACTCGTGTTCGATCAGCCTACATGTACATCACATGCACAGCCCTTCGCGCTTCGCGCGGCGGGCTGTGATTATGTAGGCGATCTCACACTCGTACAGTCGTAGATCTACTCTTGCTTGATTCCATACTTCTAGCGATGAATGAATGACTGGAATGAGGACACTACATACACTGCTTAGTCACGTCGTTTACTAGGTTTTAGTGTTACTGTAGACTGTAGACTGTGTATGTAGTGTCAGCTGTATTACTTGACAGCTAGCTATCGAGGTTTTTTTTAAAACTAAATTGTCTGTCTTGTTACCCTGTTTGTCTCTTGATGAGTTTGAGAGGTTGAGCGTCGCTGCGTGGATGTGCTCGGCTTCCCATGACTCATTCAACATTCATGCTCATCCGCTGGGCAGAGAACAGCGCAAGAAAGAACAGAGAGAGAGAGAGAACAGCGCAAGAAATTATTATAAAATGATTGTGTCGGAACTGCAGCTGGCTTTCCAGCGCTTTGGAGAAGGAGATGAGGATTCAAAGTTTGCTACTCTGGAGGAAAGACTTGAATGCACGCTACATTGCCGAGTTTTGGAGTAAGCCTGCCACAAATGTAGAGGAGCGCACGAGAGAAAGGTAAGCGCACCTTGGTGCTGGCACTGCTGGTCCATGTTGCATGTCGGGTATACTCCACGTAGTATGCACGTTACGTCGTGTACATGACATAATCATTGACATTGTACAGGCTTCATTGTAACGTTTTCTGGAGGCTACTGTTGTTAAAGCTTACTAGCCTGTTTGACCTTTTTTGGGTGTACTCCTGTCACTCGAGTTGAACCTTGGTGTGAAAGTAATTAGTTGTCGCCTGCTGGCGCATGGCGTGGTGACCAGGTGATTTTGGCACCCAGGAGCACGTGACTGCTTGTTCAACCATGTTCGATTGGGAATAAAGGAGGAACACTGCGTCTCAGCTTTCTCGGACCAAGACCATTCGACTCAGCACCCCGAAGACTACAACTGGTGAAATTTTGATTTTTGCCTTAACTTCCCCTTTAAATCTGGTGAGAATGCGATATGCCAAGATATTGTAGGCTGCCCAATATTCGCGCCCAATATTCGCGTCGCTAATTGAATTTCTCAGAAAAAAACAGCTTGTTTTATACATGGCAAATTCTCGTGAAGCACTGTGGCCACATACATACGCCCACCGTGTTGAAGTTTGATTTCACCCTGGTTTCAATATTCGCTTATGCTCTTCTCCCGAAAATACTAAACATTAAATGTTTGTTCATAGCCTTGCCTAATAGTTTGGGCTATGAACGAAATTGAGTGTGCACTCATTACTCCGACACACAAGGCAAGGGAGGTCAAGACAGGAGTTTTCCAATATCGTTTTCTTGTGACGCATCATCAGTTGGAATTACATCAAGTACATCGAAATGGTGAATACAAGAGGAACTTGTCAATAAATGCAGACTAAATGTGACACAGCTGCCTTAAGTGTGCAATCTGCAACTTCATTGTGCTGTGCCACCTCAGAATTACCAGACGAAATCCATGAGCCATGAGAATGAGCCATCTGAGAATTGCCAGAATGCGCAAGCAATCTGGGAATTCTCAGAATGCGCTCAACATACGTGTATACAGTCATGAACGTGTTATGCCTTTTCGCAATGTTATAGTCATTAGTGCCAGGTGAGCAGTGTCTTCATGCCAGTCTTGTCTTGCCGATATTCCGAAGATCAATGAGTTTTTATTGCTATTTGCATCGCACTATAAAGTCAGTATCATGAAGTAAATTCGCGAGTGATGTTAGGTGATTGGGCTCGCTCATCCACTAGGCCACTGTTTACAGATACATGTCTATGCAAAGAAATGAAGAAAACCTTTCGATTCCCTCTCACAGAAAAAAATGTATTTTTCCAGCTCAGAAAACCAAAGTCAGAGGATACTTGTTCACCACACATCTGATTGCGAGTGGTTCAGCCAGTGATTCTGAGCTCCTCAGATAAGACCTTATCGTAAGGTCGAAGTAGCATGTTGCTGTCCGTACATGGAGTATCAAATTGTGTGCATTTTCGTTCTCAAGTTTCTGTGAGAGTGAATCAGAAGGTTTTCTAGTACATATAGATTTTAACATCTTTGTCTGTTTGTCTTGCGTCCAGTTGTTATCCTGGCAGGTGGAATGCGACTGAACCAGTGCAATGGGCGACACATCGTGCGTCCGGAGGGCGGGCAATGAGACTTGCATCAGCTTGAAATCGCTCACTCTTTTCTGTCAATTGCCCGATGTACCAATAGAGGTTCACACGGGTCAAATGGGGATGACAGGTGGGTGCACCTTAAATATTTCATCGCAAATTGGTCCTGATTCAGATAATGTTAAATCAAAGGGGAATGGTCTTGGTCCGAGGAAGTCTGAGGAAGCTGAGACGCTCCCTTCCTACTTTAATCCCAATCGAACTCGCGCACTTCCACCGAAACTGGGTGACTGCGCCCTACGAGATGGGGATTTGTATGCAAAATGTCACTAAAAGCGCCATTTCGTTCTTATAAAAGCACGGATGACCGCGATTGGCCCATATGTTGTAGTATTTTGGACGCTGAGTCGACTGGTTTTGGTCCGAAAAGGCTGCGAACCAGCGTTCCTCCTTTATTCCCAATCGAGCATGGTTGAACAAGCGGTCATGTTCCTGCGTACACCAGTCACCTGGTCACGGTGCCTGCAGGGTACAACTTACTAGCCTGTTTGACCTTTTTTGGGTGCAGTCCTGTCACTCGAGTTGAACTCGAGTTGAACCTTGGTGTGAAAGTTGTCGCCTGCTGGCGCGGTGACCAGGTGATTTGGGCACCCAGGAGCACGTGACCGCTTGTTCAACCATGTTCGATTGGGAATAAAAGAGGAACGCTGCATCGCAGCCTTTTCGGACCAAAACAAGTCGACTCAGCGTCCAAAAGACTACAACATGGGCCAATCGCGGTCATCCATGCTTTTATAAGAACGAAATGGCGCTTTTAGTGACATTTTGCATACAAATCCCCATCTAGTAGGGCGCAGTCACCCAGTTTCGGTGGAAGTGCGCGAGTTCGATTGGGATTAAAGTAGGAAGGAAGCGTCTCAGCTTCCTCGGACCACGACCATTCGACTCAGCACCCCGAAGACTACAACTGGTGGAATTTTGATCTTAGCCTTAACTTCTCCTTTAACGTTCTTACCCCCTCCCCCCATTCTACAGTACATTATAGATGCATTATGTTTGTCGTGTGCTGGAATTGTACTTCACTCTGTTTTTCTCTTCATATAACAACAAACTTAGAGCCCAGTTTGCTCCCAACAAACGGCTTACGAAGAGTGTTGGATAACTGAATTTCATGTACCCTTCCTTCAAACCAGTGAATTTCATTTTTAAAAGCTTGAGTTAACTTTGATATCTGTTCATGAGAGAAAAAAGAAGGTGGAAGCCTCTTGCAGTTGAAGCAATTAGAACTAAAACTTAAAGCTCTCTATGATGTTTCCACGAGCTTAGCGTCACATGTGGCAATGGGATTGGTAGTTTCTATATACTACAGAAGTGAACGGAGGACTGTGCAGCAAAACGCAAAATATAGCAACTACTTAAAGATTAAAAAATGGGTTGTGAGCAACACTGGCTCACACTCAAATCACTGCTTTTCACCAGAAAAATATTATATTTCAACGTTTCGGTCATGAAATAACCATCATCAGGAATGAAGTGGGCACACCGGTTAGGATGGGTTAATAAATGAGGAGCGCTGCAAACTGATAACAAATCACACCTGCATGCACTATGACGAGAGAGAGAGAGAGAGAGAACAAAAGGACAAAATATCACCAAAAAAAAACAGGTATAGAAATAACGCAATACGCGACAACTCTAAATATGGCACAGGTACAGGCAACAAACAGAATGTACATGTGCACTAGGTGCGTGCAGACATGTAATTGCAGGCGCTAGCAACAACAGTAGTAGTAACAGTGCACTAGTGCAAGGGGTGCAAAACCACCACTATCCAGGAAGAGCGAGTATCAGGGCCAGAAATATGTACAAGGCAGTACTTCACCAGAGACTTCACAGGAGGTCCCACCCTGCGTTATTGTTTATGCTGGGGCTCGTGTCGCGAATTTGTATTGCTTCGCGTATTCTCCTCCTGGCCCGATCCGACTCAGTGGCAAGGACGCGAACCTCTGTGAATGCCGACTCGCCAAGCTGGCTCGTTCATGAGCAGTCGGTTAATGTTGTTGAATTTTAATTATTTCAGATTTGGTGAGAAGGTCTACCACCAGAGGGAAGGCATCGCCATGGGTAACAACCTAGCGCCCCTGTTTGCGATTATCTTCATGCATGACCTCGAAACCTCGCTGTTGCTAAACTCGCCTGGTGCTCCCGTACTCTACAAGCGTTATATTGATGACATCATTATGCTGTGGACACTGGGGGCCGCGCTTCTCCGGCAGCTGATTGCATTCTTCAATACCGCCAATGCGAGCATCAAGTTCACGTATCAATCTTCGGAGGAAACTGGGTCGGTTGACTTTATGGACACGACTATTCATGTCTCCTCCGAGGGCGCAATATCATTCGAGCTGTTCCGCAAAGCTTGCCACAGTGGCCTCGTCTCAGACTTCAACTCGTGCGTTCCGCAACAGCAAAAACTCGCCATCGCGTCTTCGGAATTCCTCCGCGCGGCCCGCCTTTCCTCTGATCCTGCAGCCCGCCAGCGAAGTGAGCAAAAGGTTATTGAAACATTAAAATTCAACAACTTTCCTGACAAAGTTATCGCGACTGCTCATGAACGAGCCAGACGACCTGCTAAACAAAAGAAAGACTATCGATCCACGTTGAAGTTACCATTCAAAACGGATGCCATCCACTACAGGGTCCACCGTCTTCTAAACAAATACAATCTAAATGTACAGATAATCTACAAGAATGCAAGGCTTTCCAACAGCGTCACTAAGTCCAGCCTCACTGGACCTTGCTGCCGTAAGTGGGTGGATCCCGCTTCCCCGAGGCGACGAGGAAGGCCTAAAGCCGCCTGCGTTGCATGCCAATCGAGCGAGGTAGAATGCACAAGACGCAACGTGGTTTATCGTCTGACCTGCAAGTGCTCGGAGAAGTATGTTGGAGAGACTGGCCGTAGTGTAGCAACGCGAACAAAAGAACACAATGATAACTCGCGCAACAAGACGTCTGGAAAAGCCCTGGGCGAGCACTGCCGACTTCACCATGGCGGCGAGGTACTGCCGCTTGGCAGTTCTCTCTCTTTCTCGTCATAGTGCATGCAGGTGTGATTTGTTATCAGTTCACAGCGCTCCTCATTTATTAACCCATCCTAACCGGTGTGCCCACTTCATTCCTGATGATGGTTATTTCATGACCGAAACGTTGAAATATAATATTTTTCTGGTGAAAAGCAGTGATTTGAGTGTGAGCCAGTGTTGCTCACAACCCATTTTTTACTTATGAAGCTGCGTGATGCGTCCTACAAGATTTTATATACTTAAAGATTATTTGAGAGAAGCATGCACAGCTTACAACATGGTACACACTGGTGCAGGTGTTGCATTGAAGGACAGTGCATGTCACGCGCGAAGGAACGCAGAACTTGTGCTAATGGAGCTGTAACAAGGGTATAAGTACGGCTGAAACGATCATTCAATAACTCCTAACGATCAACCAATATCCTTAAAGATCGCTATATTGGTTTTATCGATTCTTGTCGGCTGTATGGAACAACCGTTTTTGAAGAAATTCTATGATGCCTTCGCAACGCTAAAAATTTGTGGCACCGCTCTGTCGACATCTGTAGATATCTAGCTGGTTTCATCAACACGAACTACTCAAGTAGAAAATTTCATGTTGTTTCTAGAGTGAAGGATCTTGTCATCACGCTCTGGCAACTGCTCTCATCTCCGACTTCTCCCACAAATGAACCGAAAAGGCAAAGTCTTCTTTCCCGATCTCTTTCAAAACACAAATCAATTTCACTGCGCTTGAAAGTACATGATTGCACTCGTATCCACTATCGGATGGAGTGCAAGGGCTAGAATACTGTCACTGATATGCATGCAGACAAAATCATTAGCACTCGTTTTGAACACTAACGATTATCGATTGCACTCTTCACGATCGATATGCGAGTTATCGGTATAATTGTTTCAGCCCTATATACAAGGTATTCACTTCGCCTAGAGCCAATACAACCAAAGCCTCATCATCATCATCATCTCGGTCTGACTGTGTTTTTGCGTGTTTCTCTGTCTGTGTATGTCTTGCGGTATTTCTCTCCTTCCTTCCTTTCTTCCCTTCCATCCCTGGTCCTGCTGCCGCGAGGTGCAGCACAGTCTCTGAGTAATCTTATAAGTATAACGCTACAAGAGTGTTAAAAAGAGAGAAAACGAGTGTAGGATGGTGCTAAAGTGTGAACTTTCAAGAATCACTGTTGTCCTCTCTACCATGCCCACCTTATAGACCTCCACATCAAGAGGATACAGATGTGGAACAAACTCACCACATGTCAGGAATGTCGGTTTTGCAAGAGCACGGAGCAACGTCTACTCAGCACCCATCGTGATGTCTGTACTAAGAGGCAATGCAAGGTAAGGACTAAGGAGTGATGAGTATATGAATGAACATCAGTATGTTTTCCATGCGCTTGTCTGTTGCGTGCCTTGACACATATTGTTACATCCTCAACCCGTCACCACCATGCCACGCTCTTAGCCGAACCAATGCACTGAGCATTAAAATATTGGCACGGCAAAGACACTTCCATGGACAGATACTTGTTTACGCCTCCACATTGTAGACAGCTGTTTCGCTCCTTCGAGATCATCAGTTGAGGAGGAGGATGATGATAATGGAGTGTAAAGGAATGGTCATTCTTATACAGCAGAAATGGCACAAGTGTGCGCTTTCCACATGGAACATTGACATATACACGCTGCTAAATATAAGAATAGTGTATTGAGCTATTGTACGCGCTCATTGGTGGAGGAACACACCATACAGGCGACGTAAACCTTACGTGGAAATGACACTACAACTGATTGCAATACAGCGAGAATAATGATGCCACTGGAAAGTATGTTGTGCATAGTGAGATGATGTTGCATTGCCCCGTGTGTGCAGGCGAGGCGAGACTCACCGCCGAGATCTGCTAATGCGACAGGCTCGGTTGCCATTCAAGATTCACACCGCCCTGTCCGCCCGTCGACGGGATCAACAGCGGGATTGATCAAACTGAGCTGCCGATATGAAACGTCCATGTAGAACGTCAACCAAGCAGCCCTGACTGGAGTGAATGCCCCGTCTGGCCTCTCGTTTGTCAGCGACTCACTGACTCACTGATGTGGTGAACTAGCGGCCGCTGTAGCCACTGTACCGTACTGGTTTCCACTCCAATGCACACCCACACACTGCACATACAGTGAAATCTGTCTAAGACGACCGCTCAAGGGACCATCAAAATGTGGTCTCTGTTACCAGGTGGTCTGCCTATCCAGGGTAATTTGACTGGAAGTAGCATCCCTTGGTCCTGGTTGCAGTGGTCTTCTGCGACAGGTGGTCGCCTTATCCGAGTGGTCGCCATGACAGGTTTAACTGTATACATGATTGTACAAGGCATATCCAATGACCTGTTGCTACGGCGCTATGAGTACACCTATTTCTCCTTGTACATAATTATTATTATTTAAAAGGTTTTAAAACTCAGCCAGAGTTGCAGCAAACTACGTTGTGAAGCCTTTACTTGTTTTGGTCCACCGTTGATTGCTGTACATGTGCAGTATCTGTCATGCTTCAAGTGTCATGACTCATGTATTACTAGTATGTACATGTATGTGACTGTAATTATTTATAGAATCAGATTATGAAGCAAAACAAGAGCCTGCGGTGTCGACTGGGCCGACCCAGGACAACTCTTCTCTCAGCTCTTTCCCAGGACTGCCTAGCCCGACTCGGCATTCGCCTGGGTGCGCTCATAGGCCTTAATCAGCTGCGGCAGTTGGCAGAGGATAAGCACGGTGGAATGGCACCCCGCGGCACTCATCTTCCTCTCCCGCATAATATCCACTGCAGGGTGACCATCAATATTAAACAGTCTACCGTCTTTCTGATATTGCCACTCGCACTTGACCATAGAAGCAGCTTTCCAGTGTGCAGTTACATTGAGCCATGGTGTGTGCTTGTTTGTTTTTGTGAATCCTTCCCAGAAGCAAATGCTGGTTTTTATACATCGTTTACTCAGCTTTTAAATATTTGCAATAACTTGGGAATAGCTAAACTAAACAATAATGCTTGGTTTGACCACTACAGTCTACACTGTACATCTACAGTGTACATCTACAGTGTAGACTGTAGATAACTGGTACTAATAGGCGATAGTGCACAGGTGGTGGGATTACCGTGAGACAATCGCATGGGCCGGTGGGGGCATAGCCTAGGCTAGGCTAAGCAAGTGGCAGGCCAGCCACCACCATTACATGTACCACCACCACCACCCGCGCTCGCCCACGCATTCACAGTGGAAAGAAAAAACTGTTTTACAGTAATACTTGATGTAATGCTGAGTGGGATTCCCCAGAGGAGTCCCGGACACTCAGTGGCATACCGGCATGCGATGCGTGATGACAAACTGTTCCAAACTATCCAAAGCCTAAGCGTAACCATGGTAACCCGCTTAGGCAAAGAGTGACATACATGTAGTGGCATTAGTGGGACAGGGTGTCAGGGACACAGGGTCATTTTATTCTACGGACTACCATACACTGCATGAATAGTCAACTCAGGTTTGCATTCTAAGGCCCAGGTAGTTTAGGGAGTCGTGAAGGGCTTTCACGACTCCCGATCCCTGATCTAGCCAGCTGGCCTCGGCTCGGGTTTTGCTTTCGCTTGCTCCGGAATGCTGTCGTCATTGTCGAAAACAGCAGTGATTCTCCGTCTCTTTCACTGCCGCATGCAACCCGTTACCAGGTAACAGGTTACGATACCGACGTGAATCAGAGATTATTCAGAGTGTCACCAGCCAGCGCGCTGTTACTGTGTGTGTTACATGACCACGCGCGTAGATATCTACGCATGCCGATATATCGCGATGAAGTGACGCAACGTCGCAAGGCAAAAGATGACACAGTGACAGACGGTGTCACAGTACTCCACAGCTACCGGATACCATGGATACCTGTCCTTGGGACCGTCACTTAATTTTTGCCGACTACCCGCCAAAAAAATCTTTTCGTTTCGCGTGTCAGACACGTCCGCGCGCGCGAGCGCGTACGACTCGCGCGCGCCCGCGCGCTACCTTTCACGTCAGGCAATCTGTTCACGCCACATGGCCTATATGGCTGGATAGCGCGTACATATGCAAACATGATTGAAGACTTGCAAAATTAATTTTTTCCAAGTCCAGGCGCTAGGCCTAGCTAGGCAGTACTAATGCCTAATGCCCAGGCAGCTGACTTTATTTTCGGAGAAACACTACTCATTGTAGTAAAAAGTAACAATGAATAGCGATATCATCTAGGAAGGATCGCTACCCTAACGCGAAGGAAAGGCCTTGCGCGGCTGCTCTACGAAGTGTTGAAGAAAGACTCATCAAAGTTAGTTGGTGGACGAACAACTCGCTGGCGCCGGAAAACTTGGCCCCCAACGATGGTGTTTGGTGAATCATCAAGCATAATGTCTTGTAGCAGTGTTCACCGAGGAAGGAGAACGCTCTAGCCGCTGCTGTTGTCTGTTTCATCCACGTTGGGCGTTAGCTGCACCGCGCCTATTGTGTTTTAGTATTCCATGGACACACATTAGCATTCAGAGCGATTGTGGAGCCATAATTTACTTCACACAGCGTTGTATTGTCCACGAGCGCAAACTTCATTATCAGCAGTAACTGTTACTCTTCATCCTACATGTAGACTTGGAGTATACACGGCCTTGTCACGACAGCGACAGCTCTACAGAGTGTTCAAGTGAGAAACATTAATTTCTATTGTTGGTGGACGAATAAATGGCTGGTTCCGAAAAAACACGGCCTGCACCAATGGTGTTTGGTGGATCATCAAACAGGGTGACCGGCAGTGTTCACCGAGGAAGGAGAATGCACTCGCCACCACTCCGATTCATCCAAGTGGGCGTTAGCTGCGCCGCGCCTATTGTGTTTTAGTATTCCATGGACGCACACTAGCGTTCTCAGCGATTGTGGAGCCACAACATATCTTCATGCGGCGTTGCACTGTCCAAGAGCAGAAACGTCAGCAGTGACCCATCATCATACATGTAGATTTGGAGTATACACACCATGCGCCAATGGGCCTTGGCACAACAGCGGCAGCTCTACGGAGTGTTCAAGTGAGAAACATTTGTTTCGACTTTTGGTGGACGAACAAATCGTCGGTGCCGAAAAACGTAAACGGAAATATTTTTCCGCCGATACCCGTTACTTCCAGTTCTGTCAAGGGCATAACTGGAATCCATTGCCAGGTGATGACATTTTACTTTATGTGTTATTTTGCTGCCGAGTTGTTCAGAACTTTTCAGCCCCGATCTGTCCATGTCTACATGTCGGCCATCCGCAAACTTCATGTGAAAGTTGGCTTTACCTACCCGTCAGGCCCAATGACTCTCCTCGCAAGGTTCCTGTCGGGCATCAACAGGTCATCATCGACACAGTGTCATCGCCTGCTGATAACCACTCAACTTCTCAGGGAGATTAGCCGGCATGTTGCCTTTCCACGGATGTGGCACCCTCATGACAAGGCTATGCTAAGGGCAAACTGGCTGCTTTATTTTAGCTTTACATTACCGCAGTCAGTCCAGCACAATACGCCAATCGTATTTCACTATTACTCGCGTGTCATAATTGGGGATATGGGCTGCTCCGCCCTATATCCCTGATATGCCTACTAGACGAAAAGTGTGTTCTGAGCCTGTATCGCGTATAATAGGGCTTGAAAGTGATGACGTCAAAATGGCCAGGGAGTAGTAAGTTGACATCAGATTTCTAATTTTGGATCCACTAAGGTGTGACTTTGCTATTGCCTAAGTATGTGGGTGCATAGCAACCCACTCATGTCGCATGCAGGTGTGACTTTTATTTCGCCACCAGTTGTAACCCCGCCCCCAGTAGCCAAATCAGTCAGTTTCACTGGCTACATCACCATGCTGTGGGTTAGACCGCTTGAAATGTGCTTGGGTGCTTGGAACGCTACCCCCCTCTTGAATCATAGCATAGTGGACTCTGCAATGAACAGATTATGAAACTCCCTGCAAATTTACTACGGTCATTTCTGGTGGCTGGTCTTGGGGCACCGTGGAAGCTGTGACTGGTTGCCAAGTTTTGTTTTGTGACTGATCATGGGGCATTTGTGACTACTTCGAAGCACAGCTCTGATTGATCACAGAGTCTTACTGTTGTGAATATTTATATCGATTGAGAAGTCAAGCAGCCACGGGGCGCTGGCCTTGCAGCTGTGAGTATGCATACGGTACATATTCACATGACTCTATTGTATGCTGGACACTGCTGGTCCATTGTTGCAGTGTGTAAGTGAACTGCAGAACCTATTCCGTGATGAAACACCTACTCTTGAAAGACTGAATGTTTGAGCTAAAAGTCTTTTACTTCACTCTCATGCTGCTCATATAATTATACCATACGCCAGAAGACCCTAAGTTAGTTCTAAGATTTTGTGGACCATGTGACCATGTGGTACTTTCACTCTACAGCCAAGTCAACCTCTTCGTCAACACACAGGGTTTTCCTCAGACACAAGCGAATGGTTTACTCCACTCTGGAGAAGAACACAGTTTGCTCTCTCGAACACCAACTGCAGATAACTACGGAATGTACTTCAGAAGTAGGAAGTGCAACAACTGCTAGAATATTGAACTGTCGTCCACACAAAGCAAATAAAGACAACTGAAAACCAAAACACGTGCAACTGCCAACATGCATGTAACAGCAACTGCAAGCCAGAACTACAGACTCCGCGCAGGGAGGAACAGGGGAAACAGAGGTAACGCTTCCGACTCCGAGAGCTTCGAATAGCAGCGGACAAAACAATCCATCAACCTTGCGTGTCACCTTGCGCTACCGCAAACGAACACCTATGGATGCACAGTGCAGCACAGACTCAGTGCATGCACGGTGTAATAACTGGAGTACATGTAAACCGACAACGGTCACCTTGCACCCTATGCAGTAAGTTACATAGGCGGTGCCAACAAAAGAGCAGGGTTCGTGTATCGTGCACACTCCAATGGCACAGCAGAAAATGTTCTCACCAATAGCCACCGCTAGCTGTTTTGTCATCTTGCTGTGCCAAATGATGCTGTATAGACGCGCCAAGCAGAAATGGACTGCTTATGAGCGTGAACAGGCTGGATGGGGTGACTGATGGACTGTCGGAGTTGGCGAACCACAGAAATCGTGTCGCATCTCTGTATGCTGGGTTGGCACTGATTTGTAAAATGGCCTTCTCAGTATCGCAGGTCATGACGATTGGTGGCAGGCAAAATCGTAGAACAATGATGAATTGCCTAATGGCTTGGATGTCAACACAGTCTAGGTCCCACAGATCTGGGATGGTGCAGGAGTCGGAAGTTGCATCAGTTAGAGAAACGGTAGCTGGCATGGCTGCTCCTCAGCGTAGCTGAGTGCTTGGAGTGACGTGTTCGACCAGTCACCACAAAACCGACTGTGGTAGGCAGAAACTGTAGTCCTGGCGGAAGTCCTCTGGTGCTCCCCGTCAAGACTCCCAGAGGAAATCTGCACCGATCAAGACGACTGACTATCTTACGGTCAATGGCGATACTGGTTGATGCTGCACTAGCTGCTGTTGCGCTAGATGCTGGTACCTCGTCAGCCACAGGCTGGTCAGCTACTATGTTGGTACTGCTGTCAGATTTCTGTTGAGGTTCAGGGCAGATCGTGACATGATGGTGACTCTGATTGGTGACCCATGCGAGAACACACATTACACTTGCGGGTGGCCTTGCACTGAGTTGACCGGTGCCCTGTGCGTCAACACACAAAGCAACGCTTCTGTTCAATCAGTTATTCTTTCCGCTGTGCTACTGTTGTGTATTTCGCGCAGCTCTTGTCCAGGTGAGATCTGGCGCAGAATGCACACCCTCTCATACTGCTGGCATTCCAGTTAACATCAGACCGCTTCCTTCTGGTGAACTTGCATGCGCCTGTCACCAGTGCACCTGCAGAATAGTGAGTGACATCTTCTGCTGTAGTACCGCCTGTGTTTGTGCGGTGCAGAAAGGCGTCATGCATGATAACATAACGCTTCAGTGCTGTTCTGAAGTCATTCAGTTTCCATTGTGTCCCTGCATCTGAAAAGCCTCGCGATTCGTCCAGTTGAATCAGCGTTCGGCATGATCCGTATCTTGGTCACAG